CAGATCTGAAATTATACTACAAAGCCACTGTCATTAAAACAGCATGGTGTTAGCACAAAAACAAGTATGTGTCTCAAAGGAACAGAACTGAGGAATCAGAAACAACCCCAGGCACATTCAGCTATTTCATGTTTGACAAAATGGTCAAAAACATACACAAAAGAAAAGAGCCTTTTTAATAAATGATGATGGGAAAACTGGATAATCACATGCCGAAAATTGAGTCTAGATGCATATTCTTACCTTGTACTAAACTAAAATCTAAATGATCAAACATCTAAATGTCAAAACAGAAACACTCCTGGAAGATCAACTAGGCAAAGCTCTTTAAGACATACGTGTGGGAAGGATTTTTTTTTTTTTGCTGGCTTAGGCTGCCTTAAGGGCAGGTCTGGTGTGGCATGTGGTGCTGGGGATTGAACTGTAGTCTCTTGCTCCGGACTGGTTTTGCTCAAGAAGGCGCTTTAGGCAATGTAGCTAACCCGCCAACCCTAAGACACAGGTATGGGCAAGGACTTTCTGACCAGAACCCCAGTGGCACAAGAAGTAATACCAAGAACCAACTAATGGGATCATATCAAATTAAAAAGCTGCACAGCAAAAAAAAAAAATCCAACATAAAGAAGAAACAACCTACAGAATGGGAAAATATTTTTGCTTCAAAGAGATGACTAACATCTAGAATATATAGTGAACTCAAAAACTTAGACCCCCCAATAAAAGACCTAATAAAAAAATGGGCAAGCAAATTGAATACTCAGACGTACAAATGGCCAAAAAAATAAATGTATGAAAAAATGTTGAGCATTTATGGCCATTAGATAAATGTAAATTAAAATATTTTACTCCAGAAAAAATGGCTAAGAGGAAATTAAATAACAATAAATGCTGACAAGGGTATGTGTAAAAGGAATTCTTCTGTACTACGGATGAGTATGGAATTCAGTATGGAGACACTGCACAAAAAAGTAAAAACAGAAATTCCACTTGACTCAGCTACTACCCTTCTGGGTGTCTTCCCAAAAGAGTTAAAGTCATTTTACAGGGACACATGTACATCCATGTGTGGTGGATTCACTAACAGTCAGCGTCAGTGGGAACGCCCCCCTGAACTGAGTCAGCAGGGTCCTGGGTGTGGAAGATCCACCTGAGGATTGTTGTTGGAAGGCGTAAAAAGAAAATGAGAGGGGAAGACAGGGGGCTGATGATTTTCCTGGAGAAGCTTGTTGTGGCTGGTTTTCCTGATATGAATTCAGTTGTTCTCCTTGGGGGAACTGGTTCTTGCAGTCACTGGGTGTGACTGCTATTCTCTCTGAAAGAGCTCTGGTCTTCACCTTTGTCTTAAGTATTGCTTCTTGGCTCCAGAGCAGACTCCTCAGCCTGCCAGCACAGACCCTTCATTCTGCTGGCACAGACTTTCTAGTTTCAGACAGAACCCTTGGGCCTTCCCAGCACAGAGCCTTGATATGGACTTGCGTGAGACATTGTCGTGGGCTCTCGGCCTTCAGCTGGACTAGTGTGGGACACTGCCATAGGATCCAGGCCCTCAGCTGGATTCTTTGGGTCTCTAGTGCATGGACAGATCTCTTGCGCTCTTTTGCATCTGACTTTCTGGGTATTATAAAATAATCCTATAAAGTATGTGCCCTGTGTTAAATCCCTTCCCTTGCAAGTTCTGAACACAATACCATGTTAAAGTAGCATGATTGTGGAAATGACCTACATGTTCACCAACAGATGAATGGATAATGAAAATGTGGTATTTATACACAATGGAGTACTACTCTACCATAAAGATAAACTTGAGGTATATGTAGGTAAATGGAGGCAACTTAAGACAGTAACATTAAGTGAAATAAGTCAGACACACAAACTTAAATATTGTTTGGTTTCTCTTATGTGAGAAATTTACTATATACATATATTGCATACATATACCTAATATATAATTACATAATTATATATATGGCAAAATAAAAAGTTATTAGATAGGAAATAGGGACAAATGGATGGGGGAACAAGAGATGGATGGAGGAAGATGGGAGGGGTGGAAAAGGAGATTTAAAAAATCCAAAGAATTGAAGGGAAAAAACGGTGACTACAAATTTTGCACATGGAAAAGGGGCCTCTTGGGTGGAGTGAGCAGGGAGGAAGAGGAGGAGTACTGCATTAAAGAAAGAAGCACTAGGAGGTACTATATACACTTACCGATGCCCCACAATAAACGTGCACTAATAAAAAAGGACACTTAAAAAATGGGCAAAAGACCTAGGCATTTTACTAAGCAAGATGTAGAGAGGGCATGCAGGTGCAAAGATGCTCAACCATACTGGTCAGCAGGGAAATACTCATTTTAGTAGTTGTATTTTATTTTTTTCTGTATTTAGTACAGGGTCTATAGCGTCTCACTACAGATCAGACTCTTAGTAATTCTCCTGTTTTCAGTCTCCCAAGTGCTGGGACTACAGGCTACAGGCGCGTGTCACCACGCCCAGACTCAATTGCCAGCTCAGTGTGCCCCCAGGGGGCAGGACTGGAACAGCATGCCAGGGATAGAACCCCAGTCCCTCTGTCTGGCCCTAGGGAAATACTCATTAGAATGAATGACAAAAAATGAAAGAACACTGAGGCTGGGGATGTAGCTCTGTGGGAGAGAACTTACCCAGCAGATATGAGGCCCCAGAAACACACACTTGCGTGTGCGCGCACACACACACACAGTTAAAATATACTTTTGCAAAAATTTTACTAGCCTTTCTACTCCTAAGTATCTATTCCAAGGCTGAAGGAAATATATGTCCATATGAACTTATACACAGATGCTTATAGGAACTTATAATAGACAATAATTAGAAGCAACCTCAGTGTTCATCAAAAGGTGAATGGAGAAACAAATTATGTTACATTTATGCAACAAAACGCTACTGAACAATAGAGAAATGAACAATAAGAACACGAATGAATATATGAACTAAAGTTCACTGAACAGAGTGAAAGACAAAAAAAGTCCATACTAAGATTCTTCATGACTGTAAAACTGAACCAGCCATGCTGGTACACATCAACAATCCCACTACATGGTAAGGCCAGTCTGGGCTACATGATGAGATTTTGTCTCAAAAAACTCCCTAAAACTAATGCATGACAAAACAAAACAAAATATCCCAAACTCTCTAAAAACTACACCAAGAAAGCAGTAAAATGGAACGTAAGGAAGGGGTGGGGAGCAGAGGGCAGGAGAGTTTACAAATAAATAGGAGGAAACCTTTGGGGGTGATGGGTATGTCCATTATTTTATTTATAGTGATGGCTTCACAGGTATAAACCTGTGTCAGACTTATCAACTTCCAGGTGCAGTAATGAACACCTATAATCTGAGCTACCCAGGAGGTTGAGGCAGGAAGATCTGGAAGTTCAAGGCTAGCCTAGGGAAGTTAAAACAATGTCACTGTCCTATGGCTCGTCTGTCCATCTGTCCGTCCGTCCGTCCTTCCTTCCTTCCTTCCTTCCTTCCTTCCTTCCTTCCTTCCTTCCCTTCCTCCCTTTCTCCCTCCCTCCCTCCCTCTTTTCCTTCCTTTCTTTTTGGTGGTATTGGGAATTGGATTCAGGACATTGCACTGAGCTACATCTCTAGTCCTTTTTTTAAATTTTGAGATAGGCTCTTATTAAGTTGCTAAATTGCCCAGTTTTTAACCCTCATGCTTCAGCCCAAGAGTGCTGGGATTACAGGCCTGTGGCACCAACCTTGGCTCTTTTTCTTTGTTTTGCAGCACTGGGCCCTGAAACTCAGGGCCATGTGTATGTTAGGAAAATTCTCTACCACTGGGCTATACCCGTAGACCTTGTAGTTAATTCTTAATTTTACTTTATTGTATTTTTTATTTAACTGTCATTTATTTATTTATTTTTGTATTATTGTATTTTACAGGGTCTACAGGGTCTTACTACACAGATCGGACTCGTGTGATCTTCCTGTTTTCAGCCTCCCAAGCACTGGGATTATGGGTGTGCCACCATGCCGTCTCAGTCAGTCTCAGCATGCCCCAGGGGTAGGACTGGCACAGCATGCTGGGGATTGAACCCCCTGTGCCTGCTAGAGCAGGTGCTTTAGTCTGATGAGCTATCTGGCCAGCCCTTTATTTATTTGAGACAGGATCTTGCTATGTACTTTGGGATGACCTTGTGCTCACTTTTGTAGCCCCCAGGCTGGTCTAGAACTCATGCGTATAACCATGGTATAACCATGCCCAGTTCTAAGGCCTGCATGGCATGCAGGGTGGGGACTGAACTCAGGTCCTTGTGTTTGCAAGATAGGTGTTTATGCCTCAGCTATCTCCCTGGCCTCTAACTGTCTTCTACTAAAGGAAACTCTAGGGGGCTGGGGAAATAGCTCAGTAGAATAAGTGCTTGCCTGGCAAGCACAGGGTCCTGAGTTCAATCCCCAGTACCACACACACACACAAAAAGGAAATTCTACTTGGGTGTGGTGGTATGAGTTCCAGCTAATAGGGAGGCTGAGGCAAGAGGACTGCAAGGTTGAGGCCAGTCTGGTTAATTTAGCAAGACCCTCTCTCAAAATAAAGAGCTGAAGATGTAAGCTGGTGCTAGATCATCTATGGCTTCAAATCCCAGTGCTGCCAAATCAAAACAAAACAAAAAGGAATTCGAAGGGCCAGTCAGATAGCTCAGCAGACTAAAGCGCCTGCTAAGGCAGGCACAGGGACCTGGGCTTGATTCCTAGCACGCTGTGCTGGCCCTGAGACATGACTGAGACTGGGTGTGGTGGTACACGCTTGTAATCCCAGCACTGGGGAGGCTGAAAACAGGAGGATCACTATGAGTTCAATCTGTGTAGTGAGACCCTGTACTAAATACATTAAAAAAATTTAGAAAAAGGAATTCAGTATCACAAACAGTGAGCTGGCTGTGTTCCACAGAAGCCAGTACAAGTGATACAATGTCAGAGCAGGCCTGTCCTCACACTTCCAGCTTTATCTTACCCATCAATTTGTTGACGTTTTGTTTCTGTAGGTGGCCAATGAAGTGCCATTTGATCTCAGGACACGAAGACACAATCTGAAGGGAAAGAGAAAATTAACTGGACTCAGCTGAAGGTCTTCTGGCTTGAAGGCTTTATGTGAGCCCAGTGACCTTGCACCTCTCTGCTGTGCCTTAAGTGAATAAACCACTGCCACCACCTTCAGCCAGCAGCCCAGGGAGGAGAAGAACACTTAGGAAAATCTCACGTTCTGCTCCATTCCTTCTTATCCTCATCAGCTCCCTCTGTCTTTCAGCCATCAGCCATTAAGGATGAACTGATTCAAGCTTTCACATCCCAGAGGGTATGAGATTAGAGCCAGTTCTTAAAAGAATCATTTCTAAACAGCTGCAAAAAAAAATTACAATTGAAATACATGTGAAGCTTTTTTTTTTTTTTGGCACTAGGAATCGAACTCAGGATCTTGCGCTTGCCAGGCAGGTGCTTATGCCACTGGACTATCTCCCTAGCCCTAAAGTTGCAATACAGAAAGTTTAGCTGAGAATTATTTGAGGCTCAAGGTAAAAGTGGATATTCTACCGCCATCTCGACTTCTTGTTTTAAGTCTCAACCACCAACAAGGGTCTAATTCTCAACTAAAGAGCCAAGATTAAAGTAAAAACTAAAGAGTTCCAATACCCACTTACTTTAGGATTTGATGCTTTTTCTAGCAGTTCCTGAACCTAAAAGGTAAAACCAGAACAGGTCAGAAGCCCAGCAATCACAATTCTTCACAGGGGGCTTTGGAAAAGGTCTCTCACATAGTTTTCTCCGAAAGTGCGCTGGCCATGACTGTAGGCCTCAATCACCATCTCTGCAGGTTTGGTTTTGCTGACTGCTACAAGCCGGGGCTGGATGGCTGGGAGATCCTGCCAAGAGGGAAAGAACCACAGGAATGAATATTTGGGGCTATTATCCCAATTCAGTCTCACAGGATTTCTCCTGTAGAATAGATTGGTACACCTCAATCTGGCATTTGTTAAGATACAAACTTCTAATGCTACAGGGAGTTAGTATGGTGAACAAAACACACCGTATATGCACAACATCTTGCACTAATACTAACTACCCTAATAGCCAGTGGGAGACATTTCTGTTTCAGAGTAGCAGGGCAAGTTAAAGCAGTATTTCCCTAACCTGTAGTCTTAGAACAACTGCATCACTTACCACCTGGGTCCGATCAGATGAGCTGAATGTGAATCTCTGGGCCTGGGGTCTCAGAACCTTTTTGTTTCTGAGAAGCTGGGATTGAACCGAAGGCCTTGGGTATGTTAGACAAGTGCTCTCCATTGAGCTACACCCCCAGCCCTTAAAATATTTAAAAAAAATTTTTTTTTTTTATTGAGATAGTTTTACTATGTAGTCTAGGCTGGCCTTCAATTTACCAGGTAGTCCAGGCTAGTCTCCAACTTAAGATCCTCCTTCCTCAGCTTCCTGAGTGCTATGATTATAAGCATGCACCACTATGCCTGGCTGAGAAACTTTTTAAAAAACAACAGAACAAACAAAAAACCCAGCTCTTCAGATGATTCTCCTGCATACCAGTGCTAGAAGTTTAAGAATCACTTCATTGGAGGGGGTGTGGCTCAGTAGTAGAGCACTTGCTTGGCGGTGTGAGGACATAAACTTGTGCTGGGGTACATACACCACCACCACCAAACAACACAAAGCAATCACTTCATTAAGGGAAAGCAGCACTCTCTGATTAACAGGGAGCTTACTTCTGGCTTCTGAAGCCACAAGGTAACCAGTTTTGGAAACACATTCTGGTCCTGGTGTAATTATTCATATTGCTTTCAGAGTGCTTCCATCAGGGTAATGATGTGTAATTTACTGTTCCATCTATGACTCACCCACCCAGTAGCAGTCCAATTCTGGACTCAGAATTAGACCTCACTGAGTCTTCCCATAGCCAGTGCATTTAGAGCAGGGTTTTCCTGCACTCTGCTGCAGCCAACCCCACACAGAGGCAATCAGAAGCAATCATCTATCCCCTTATAGTTCAGTCTTCACATCCCCCACTGACTGCTGGAATTGTCAAAGAATCATAGTACTCTCAAGGACCTGAAGCAGTCAGGTCAATTCGCAAAAAGCCCTCTTCCTTCCGAGGGGCTTGCATCACCAGCCTTTTTAGACCTTGTCATAATTCCTAGAATGTTCATGAACTGGTGGTTTCTAGAGAGAAAAGTGGAAGAGGCAGCTATCTGGCTTGCGCCAAGGAAAACCTCCCAGAATGAGAAAATCCCTAGATTTTCCTTAGCCACTGAGATTCACAGCATTAGCACCAGGAGATTCCTTTCCAGAGCTTATCCCATTGTCTGTACAGATGAAGACACTGAGTCACTTGTTCAAGATGACACCTACTTAGTGGTTTAGGGGAGACTGCAACACAGGTCCTCTGCCTTCAGGCCAACATTCTGGATTCTGAGACCATAACAGCTTGATCAGACAGGCCTTTGCTCTTTCATTTGGGGCCTTTGTCAGTTTAACAAGCATGGAGCTACCAAGAGATTTAACACCTGTCCCAGTGAAAGTCCAGAGACATGATTGACATATGCAGTAGGAAAAAAAAAAAAACACCCAAAGGGTGCCTGCAAAGTCTGGCTGACCCATCCCAGCCTCGGCCGGGAGTGGAAGTGACATTTGCTGAGCACCTACGAGCTGTCAAGACACTGCCACACGCGCGATCTCGCGGTCTCGGTCTTCTGCGTGCTCTGGTGTCACACGTTTCTCCTGTCCCCCAAGGCCCTGCGCGTAGCGATGGGGAAAGGCCACGACGCCCGGCGAGGGGTCATCTTCCCGAGGTGGCGGCGCCTTCTGCACCAAAGCCAGCCTCCACAGCTGCCGACACACTCTTTGCGAGGTCCCCGAGAAAGTCCCTCCCCAGCCACTCGCGGCCTGGGCCACACGCCGGCGACTACACGCTTGCGGCCCCGCCCCTTCGGGGGACCCCTCTGCGTCACCGTGACGACCTAGTCCTACCACGCCGGTGTCCCCCTCCTCAAAGCGGCCGCCCATCGTCCCCACGCGGTCTCCGTCCTCACCCGTGGCCGCCGCGCCACGGCCTGCTGCACGCGCTCGTTCACTGCCCGCAGGGCGAACTCGATGCCCAGCTCCGCCGACATGCCGCCAGCTCTCCACATCCCCCGGGGAGGACTGCGAGCCCCCGACCCTTGGCACCTGGGGGCCGAGCCGGGGCCAACTTCCGGTCCACTCGGGCGCTTGCCTGAGGCCCAATCGCCGCTCCTCGCTGAGCCGCGTTACCCAATCGGCGTCCGCGGGCGAGGAGGCTCCGCGAACGGCCCGCCCCCGGGGCGGCCATCTTGGGAAGGTCGGCCCGCAGGCGCGTGAGGTCGGGCCCGGGCTGCAAGAGCGCGGAGGTCCTGTCCCGGCCGCTGGCGTCGGTGCCGGCCCGGGCCGCTGCCGCGCCGTCCCTGCCCTCGTGGGGCTTTCCTTTCCGGGAGCGAACACCGCCTCTGTTCACAGGCTGTTCTCTTTCAACTAAGAGGTATTATGTACACGCACCCACTCCCCGTGATGTTGTGTACTTCGAACATGTGCTAATAAAAATGTTAAAATTACTAAAAAATTGCCCGACAACGTTTGCCTGTCCCTGCTTCCGAGGGCTGTGAACCACTGTACATTTTTAAAGGTGCAGGGACCAGGATTAGAAACTGCTAAAGTGAAGGCAAAGCTTTTTAGCATGTTGCATGGTTCATGTGAAGAACTTTTAAAAGATGTAATAGAGCTTTCTAAAGACAGGGCATGACTCATAAATGATTTCATCCTTTAGACCAGGGCTATCCTATAGAAACAATGCATTCCACATATGTAATTTAAAAGTTGGTCGTATATTTATATTAATATATTTACTTAAGCTAATATATGTAAAATAAGATTTCCAGGGCCAGCGACATAGCTCAGTGGTCTAAACTCCTGCTTAGGCAAGCGGAGGGACTAGGGTTCAATCTCTGGCACCACAGGCCACGCAGGCTTTGCCCTCGGGCAAGCTGAGCTGGCCACTGAGTCCGGGGCTCCATGGCATACACTTGTAATCCCAGCGCTGGGGAGGCTGAAACAGGAGGATCACTACGAGTCTCAGCTGCGTAGTGAGACCCTGTACCAAACACATTAAAAATAATGAAATAAAATAAGATTTCCACACCAAGCAACGGCAAAACTAAAACAGATTTTTCTTTCCCAGTACTTAGACTTGAACCTGGTCCTTTGTACTGCGCAAGGTTCCTGCTCTTTTGATTTTTTAATTTTGAGACAGGGTCTTACTAAATTGCTAAACTGCCCAGACTGAGCTCAAGTATTCTCCTGAGTAGCTGCTGGATTAGAGGCAAGCACCATCATATTTGACTTTCTTTCGTATTTTATTTATTTTTTTAGGGAAGGGTCTACAAGGTGCTCAGGGTCTCACTACTAGATACGACTGGTAGTGATCCGCCTGTTTACATCCTCCCAAGAGCTGGGATTACAGGCGTGTATCACTTTGCCCAGTCTCAATTGCCATCTCAGCGCACGCCAGGGGCGGGCCGGCATGGCAGACCCAGGATCGAACCCCCAGCCCCTGAGCCTGCTTTCAGGCGCTTTAATCCTCTGAGCTATTTGGCCAGCCCTTTGACTTTCTTTCTTAAATCACTCTTAAATCATATATTCTTTAAAAAAAA